AGACAGGAGATCACCACCCATGGATCCAGTTCTGGGATCTCTCTGGAGGTGTATTCCTAATTTCCATGCTAAGTGAGGAAGGCTCGGGGTGGGGGGTCCGGTGGTCACAGGTACTGCCTGTCTAAGGTGACTTTTGATATGTACATGCAGTTTACCACAGTGGGGTTTTTTGTTTAGATATGTTAATCAGGATGTGCTAACCAGATCCTTTCTCTGCCAGGCCTGGAATTAGCACAAAATCATCTCTTTTGTGCTTATATCAAGTTGTTGCCTTGATGGCTGGCAAGCCTTAGGGTGAATCCCTTTTGTGGCATTAACAGCGTTTGAGACAGGCAAGGTGTTCTTTAATTCCTTACACATGTCCTGTTCTTTCTATCCTAGCATGTTTTCAGCCTCTTGCTCATCATGTATTAGCAGCATGTCAGTGTCTGGTTGAGCAATGACCATGTTATGCCAGTTCTGGACTCTTTACAGGAGTGCCCACAAGTGACAGCATGGCTCTGACTTGACTTGTTTGGTTATTCTGAAGAGCCCTGGGTAGCCCATGTTTATTCTTTCATTTCTCTCTGTCATTTTATGTCCCAAAAAGCGTGCATGACCCAGCTTTGCAGGGATTGCATCAGCAGGGATTGCTGCCTCAGCTGGCAGTGTCTGCTCTGACAGCAGAGAGGACGTGGAGTAGCTGCCACTTATTGTCCCTCTGCTTTAGTCACACCTCTTCCTTACCCAGGAGCACTTGTACAGTGGCAGCTTTGTCCATTACATGTTTCCATAACATCACTGGCAGTGGTAGGATTTATTTTTTTTATCTTCTGTGAACTTCCACAGTGTCCTAGTTTGCTAAAAGGGAGTCTTGGTCTTGCTTGTTACACAGCTGATGGCAGAAAAAGCTAAAAGCAACTTCTGCAGCTGTGTTCTTGTGTGTGTTTCTGGCCATGAGGTGACTCTGGAGCGTGAGGAGCCAAGCAAGTCAGTGTGGTTGATGGGGAGGGCTAACCTGAAGCAGCATTCCTCACATCTCTCCATCCTGCTGGCAGGAATAGACCTCTATGGTTTTTCCCACCCAAGTGTATTGACTTTCATGACATGCATCTAAACTTCCCACTCATCAAAGTAAGGGAGAGCTTTTGTCCCTTCAGGCAGGGCCAGCTGTGCTCTCTGCCTGCCTGCCCACCCTGCAGGCAGCTCTGACCTACACCCCACTGCCCACACAGCCGTTTTCAAGTGAGGAGTCACCTTTTTATGTGCCTTTATGACAGTCATCCCTGCCACGCGAAAGTGAGAACCAGCAGCCTGTGTGAGGCTGTACCATCACCTAAAGGGAGCCTCAGCCCTGGGCACTCATGCTTCATGGTTCCTGCACTATCTGAACCAGTTTGTCCTTTCTTATCAGGATGCTACTAGGTGTGGCTGACTTCATCAGGAGTTTGATGAGTGAAGAACAATAATATCACACAGCTCTTGAGAGGGGCTTCTGCTTGCTACAGTAACAGTATTAACAACCCCAAATCAAAAATCTCATTGGTGAGCTGAAAACTGGGACTTTCAAAATTAATTTGTATATTTCCATTTGCTGTCTGATTTTTCTTAGTATGTGTTTTTCAGGCTTTTCTTTCCCCAGCTGAGAGAGAGGGAAGTGTCTAAATAAAGTGAGCAAACCCATTTCTAGCATCAGATCCTTTTCTCCTGGTAGGGCTGTTATGAAAGTATCATCATTAACCTTGTATTTATTTTAAACAACCATATTAGCAGCTCCTATCTGCGAGCAGGGTTGACCGACAAATACCCTAATTGTTTATATTTAGTGTTTGGCTCACTTCCCGTCTCCAAGGCTCATGCTATTTAGGGAGAACATCCTTTTTCACGTATGTATGAAACAAAGGACAGTACAAAGAAAACAAAACTTACTACAAAGTAACCTGAGTCGTAAACCCCATTTCTTCCACTGAGACTGTAAGAAGCTAAACTTCCTCGCCGTGTGAGGTTTCACTGGAGTGAGCAGTGTGACTGTGTGATGGATAGTGAGTGTGATCCAGATACAGAGATCATGGGGGATGAGTGGGGAGGAAATTCAGGTGTTTGCAGCTGACAGAAACAAGGTCCTAGTGTAGGATCTGATCCTGGAAAACTTGTCACCTGCTGCCATCTGCAAGTACTTCGTGGCACAGCATCTAATATTCCAGTAACAACCTGTTACTAGTGACCGTGACATGTTCATGTGGTCACGGGGTTCATTTCACAGTCTGCTCCATCTACTGGAAAGCAACAAGGTTTTATGTCTGTATCTTGAATACTTGTCTCATCTACAAAGCCGTTTGCTCTCATTTTGAATCTAACTGAAGTAAGCAATTGTACAGGGACCATTTCCACTCTCCCAAGCAAGCTCTCCTGCATCTCCACTCATTGCTCAAACTGACCTGGAGACACATGGAGGTTGCTGGAGGAAGGTCTGTTTTCACTTAGGGAGATCTAGGTAAAAATGGTGTGATTAACCAAAAAATCCTCAGATACTTAAAAAATATACATAAGTATCCTTCTGTATTGTGTTTGTCAAGGGCTTTGGCTTGTGTTTCTGAGAACTGGAGCCTCGTGCAGTGGCAGGAACCAATGTTTTCAAGCAAACTTAGCACCTGAGGGTTTAAAACAAACATCCCTGTGCCCGGAGACCTGAGATATCTCTCAGTGCTGGCCAGGCTATCTGTTAGTTTTGTATTTGTGTTGTTAGTGATCTTTACTACAGCTCACAGCTTCTTATGACCAGAGTCACCTTTGTACTTGTGGAGAAACAGTTTTTAACAGCTGCCAGCGACTGATGCTTGAAGGCTGTGATCACCAGAGTGGAAAACCACCAGGGAAAAACCCACTGAAGCTTCCAGTTCTTTACAGGGAAATACTGCTGTCTTTTTCAATCTGTCTGTGTGAATGCTGTGCTTTCCCTCCCTCTGCAGCCCTGCTGATATCCCCAGCATGCTTTGGCAAGGGGATTGGGATTGGCCTTGGGAGCTCTGTGTGTGATGAGCTGGTCAGGAGCCTGCTGGCACCTGCTGAGCTGCTGTTCAGGCATGAGTAGAGGGGTCATGTCAGCACTTGTGCGTGGTTCCACCAGCTGAGCGCTGGCACTTTGGCAGAGGTGGAGTTCAAAGAGGCATAGAGAGAGTAGAGATTTTGTTTCTCAAACCTGGATTGGAGATTTTGTATTTCTGTTTTACCTGCTGAATGTTTTCACCTAATTTTAAGACTGGGCAGGATGTGGCCAGTGGAAGAGGATCAGACCTGTCTGACTGCTCTCCTTGAGCTGCAGCTGGAGGGAGATCTCTCTCCTTGCACCTCCCATAAGCCAAGGGGAGGCAGGATGGGCTGTGCTCCCCACAACCTGGCACTGAGGGGCCCAGCCAGGCTGCTGTGTGTGTGTACAACACCGATGGCATCAGCTGGTCACCTGTGTTCTAGTCTCATGGCTTTGTGCTTGTGCCTGCATCAAAGCATTGTTCCCTGAAGGCACAGTCCCAGCAGAGAAGTTCATATACAGCTCAGTAAGTGTTCACAGGAGCAGCTCCCCAAAGCACTCCAGGATGGGGAGAGAATAAATTCTCTCCTTTCTCTCCAGGGAAGAGTTAAGGACAGGAGCAGCCAGAAGAGGAGGTGTATCCTCAGCCTAAGTTTAGCCTTTTGGAGTCATGGAAAAACTTGCATTACAGTATCAACTCGCCAGAGAACCAGTCTGGCACAACACTGCTACTCCTGCTGCCCTGCCAGAGCAGACATGCATCTCACTGCATTCAATGAGACCAGTCGGTGCAGCCTGGGCAAACATTTGGGTCATTGATTTCTGGAGGGCTTATTGGCTGTGGTTTACATATCCTTGTGGAGAGGGCACAAATCACTTGGTTGTGGAGAGGCAGATGATACTTTGCTTTGTTTTCCCTTCTCAGCTGGTTGCATCGATCGTCTTCATCAGTTTTGGTGTCATTGCTGCATTCTGCTGTGCCATAGTAGACGGTGTCTTTGCTGCCAGGCACATAGTAAGTGCTTCCAGGAAAACACAGGTCCTGCAATGCTTTTACTCTAGGAAAACAAGCGATGGTGCCCACAATCCTGTATCAGGCCACATCAAACCCTGTAAATATATGTCACGTGCTGAATGCTGTTTTAAATAATAAACTTTAGAAAAGCGTATCATTTAAAAAATTTAAAATTAGCAAAAAGCATTAAGATCTTAAAACTTTGCTTTGTTTTTGTGTATGCTTTATGTGTTTATGGAGTCTCACCACTCTTAAGATGTGACGTGAATTACACCTATCACCAAGGGACAAAATACGAGCAGTAACATCTAGTTTGTTTTAAATGTATGCAGAGTGAACCACTGGATGTTGTAGTAGAATGAGGCAATTGGATACAATGCTCATTAAAGCCTTACAGTATAAACAGGAAACACTTGCAATAGGTTCTTAGTTTCCATTTGGTGGTTTAAGAAAATGATGAGCTCTACTACTGCTATCATGACCAATTGCTAGTACAGTAGAAATCCAAAAGCATCAGTTGTTAGAATAGAAATGAAAAAACACAATTCCATTTGAGCTTTTTAATTGAAATGTGTAACTGCAAACAGATCCTTAACCTGCAACTCTGCAGTTTGATGACTTTGTTTTGAAATTTTTGGCGAAATGGGATTAAAAAGACAGATTTGAGGTTTATTTGCGATCAGAATGGAAAGGAATTTCAGAAGGTTAGAATTAGCCATAAGTGGAAAGAAACTCCCTGTGTCAGCTGGCTTGTTTTACTCCTTCTGAAGCTGGCTCTCCTTTCCTGCCCCTGAGCCTTCCAGTGGTAGAAAGGCACCTGGATGGCAGGCTTTGCTGACAGAGCAAAGGGCAGCTCTGCTCAGTTGTGTGAGAGATGTCTGTCTGGATGCAACCAGCAAGTCTTGGCCATCTCTGACCCACCTTGTGAGGGCATGTGAAGCATTAGCTTTGATAAAAAGGTGAAGTTCCTTTGACTCCTTATCCTGACTGTGTAGGTCTGAGCCCCTGTGCAGGTCTGAGCCCTGCAGACTTGCTCTGGGATTTTTAGGTGCTGACCTCATGGGTTGGGTGATGGCATGAGCTAGTAACTCCTCCCAGCTGGCCCGGGGAAGTCTGCATGTCTGAGGCAACCAGAGTTGAGCAGTTGGGGTGACAAGGGCTCTGCTTTGTGCCTCTTGATGAACAGACAGTCTTGACCTCACTTTACCCCCTGACAGTCCAAAACTGTCACCATCTCGCTGGAGACTTGCCCTTGCCGTGTTAGCACATAGCATCCTCCCTTTTTCCTGCTGCTGCCCAAGCTTTGGATCAGACACACGGAGAGCCAGTCTGGCTGCTCTTGGGAAGGGCTTGCTGATGTGGATACACCTCCAGCACTGCTTGCCCTGAGGTTTTACCCTGGAGACCAAGCTGCCCCAAAGTGAAGTGTTAGTGCTTGTTTGCAAGCTGAGTCATGGATAATCTTCCAGAGCTTTCCCACAAGCCACTGAAGAAACCAGAAAAGACAAATTTGCCATCAATTACTGAGAAATTGTTATGATTCAGCATGAAGAACCTTCAGGAACATGTCAGGCAGCCCTGGGATGTGTCTGGCGAGGATGAGAAATAAATCCTTCAGTTC